CCCCCCAAGGCCCTGCTGCACCCCCAAGGCCCTGCTGCCCCCCTCCCAAGGCCCTGCTGCACCACAGCCTCCTCTCTCGGGGACCCTCAGTAGACGAGGAAGGCGGGCTCCTCAGGGCAGGGCGCCATCGCTGCTTGATAAAACGATACCGTCTACATGGTGGATCGGCCTTCTTTCTTAAAGAAACTCGCTTTTAACATTCCCTGTGGGAGTCAGCCCAGGGGGCCCAGGTCCTCGCAACAGGCAGGGCTAGAGGCTGAGGGGCTCCCCCCCGGGACCCTGGTCTGGCTTGAGGGGCTGAAGCCGGATGGAGAGGCCGCCCAGAGGCGCTGGGGTGTGGCGGGGAGCCCTCCTGTCCAACAGCACCCCCTCCCCTGGGTGACCATGCAGGTTGGAGGCTGGGGCAGGGAGAGCCCCTCCCCGCGGAGGGAGCCTGACAGGAAGGTCCCTCCTGGGCTGGGAGGTGGCTGCTAGGAGCCGGGCTGCAGGGCAGGGATGAAGCCAGCCCCTTGTTCCAGGCAGGGGTGGGGGGTCCTGACCAGCGGGCATGCTAGCTGAGACCCCGCTGGGGGCATCCCTGGGGGCAGGCGTCCGGCGCTTCCCAGTCAGCAGGTCCCTGTCCCTTGCCGGGTCCCTGCGGGTCACTCCAGGCTCAGTGCCCCCATCACTAATGGCTGCACAGAAGCAGGTGAGGCCCCCAGGTGGGGGAGGTGGACACAGCCCTGGGGGCCCTGGGTTTGCTCGTGGCTGGGACTCCTAGCTGACGCCCTTGGGTCTGGAGCCAGGGCGGCTCCCTCAGGTGCAGGGTCCGCTCCGAGGAAGGGGGGTGGGTGTCACCTGCCAATTTCCTTGTAGGTTTCCAGGCGCAGGAGAAGTCTGCGTGAGGAGGGGTGTGTGTGTGGGGGGGTGTCAGTGGGGCGGGGAGTGTGTGGAGGTCTTTTTTATCTCCTCGCCCTTCTTCATTTTTTTGCACCAAGTTAATTAACAATTTTCCAGCAAGCACATTCCTGACAGGTATTTGAAGCCTGGGTCACTTCCCTTATCTTCCCTTTCCTTCTGTGTATTATGGGGCTCCACGGAGCTTGAAAAGCATCCTCTTGTTGGAGGAGGCAGAAGCAACACTCAGAGTCATCGTCCCTTGGTCTTTATCATCTGCAAACACTGCACTAAATTTCTCAAA